TCTTGACTAGAATTAAGCAGATGTAGAAATTTGTGGTTATTTTTTAGTATGAGAAGGATTTAATTTAAAAGTAATTTACCAGTTTCTTGCGGGCATTAAGTGTCAGTAAAGCAATAATCCAATTAATATGAAATTCTTTTTAATTTCTAGTTCAACCGGTACCTGACAAATGATTGAAAGCTTCGTAATAAATGTAAAACCACGAAGGCATCGTGAAAATGGCGATGGTGTCAACAAAAATTTCGAATTTGGCTCTTTTTTCGACAGTTTTTCGTAGAAAAAATAGGAAGATTTCAAAAAAATAAATAAATAAATAAAAARCTTCCATAACGTTTCCAAAGTTAAGTTTTGAGCAATATTCTGAAGATTTATTATTATTTTTACTTAAAATCAAGTTTTTGCTTTTTAACTAATACACCGAAGAAAAAGTGATAGTGGACAGGTATAAAGAGATTTCTTTTGCTGAAAACTGTTAAGCGGTTGAAGGGACAGTGGCGAGCAAGTACGTGACTTCTACTTATTGTAATAATTGTGTATACACCATAAATACTCAAGCTCACATCTTTGTTAGATGCTGAGCTTCTTCTTCCTGTTGGCTTGAATCTTGATGTCGCTTGACCTTCGGCGGTCTAACAGTATCGTGAATCGAACTCGATAATCGCGTCTGATAGTCATCTTCTTACTTCATGGACGTAAAATAGATGGATATTGTCTCTAGAGATTAAATTATAATGGGATTTATTAGAGGTTTCTCTTCAAAATTTTTTGAGACTTAAAACATAAAGTAACAAAAAAAGGGTTAAGAGTTTTTTCTTTTAGTGAATTCTTTAATTAATTTGTTTCACAAAATATATGTATATTGTATGTATGTACTTTTAAGTGCAAATGGTTTTTGCCAGTAAAAATATTGTATCACAGATTCTCTTATCACTGCAGACGAATTTAAAATTAAAATACTATAATATATATTATAATGCCCAAAAAAAGAAAGACATACCCTTGAGCGATAAACATTTATACTATAATATCCTCTTCTACCAGAATTTGTCGCTTTAAACTTTATTCGGCGGTCGCCATAAATTAATTTTATGACCAAGTCAAGGCTAGAGATAAAGTGTGTGCGCTTTCACAAAGTAATTTCGTTTTTTTTAGTGAAATTTAAACAATAACAATCCAATAGCTTTCGCCATCTTTCGGACAAAAGATTGATTCCATGCTCATAAAATATTTAATCCTTGCATGCGACAAACTGGTCCAAGTGGTTTTTGACGTCTCGAATTGAGGTGAAAATTCTCCCATACAAACAGTTTTGAAGAGACCGGAGAAAGTAATAGTCCGAAACTGTTAAGGCTGGAGAATATGGTAGGTGTATAAACACATGCTTTCTGCGAGCGATGTAAATTGTATAAGGTTTCGTATTATCCAGATGAAACACTACACCTTTTGTATTGATCAATTATGACCTCTTATGTTTGAGTCTACATGGCTTCAAGAGTCCTTCCAGGGTGTGGTGTATCCTCAAAACCGAAATTGTCGGAATGCAATTTTGCTAACCAATTTTGCCAATTTTAAATCTCCTCCGTACAAAATCATATAATTTTCATCCCGCTTGAACAGCTTTTTCAACGTTTTCGATCATCCATCTTTTACAAGTGATTCAAATTCAATAAGAACAGCTAAGATCAAACGTCCGCTTCGGTGAAACCGTTTTGAATCAATTGAAGACATTAAACGTGAACGCAACGTGCATTGAAGGCTATTCCGGAAATTGATTTTAACAATTGTTTCGTCGATTGGAAAAACATTGGTACAAGCGTCTTAGGTCCAAGGGGCGTTACTTTGAGGAGGACGGCATAAACTTTGAAAAATAAATTAAGAATTGTAAAATTATGAACAAAGTCTTACTACTTTTTGCTCATAGTGGTATGTAAATGACAACTAACAAATGTTAGTCTGCAGAWTTCTTTAGTGTAAAGGTTTTGAAATTTAGGTTTAGTTTTGACCAATATACACATAACGATTATAGCAATTTTCCAACTTATCGAAACCATTTTAAGAAAAAAATTGTGTTTTGCTTCAAAATAAGCTGCAAACTTTGTAATTTTGACTTCACTGTCGCTAAATATTTTTCGAGTGTACATATTCTTGAGGTCTGAGAACAAAATAAGTCGCTATATGCTACATAAAGAGAATAAACGGCAGTTCGATTTTTTATCTCGAACTAAATTTTATAAATAAAAATTCAATATATTTTAGTTAATCCATTTATAGAATTTCCGTTTTATTTTTCCTCATCAATATTAATCATATTAATTATATAGTATATAATATTTAGTAGTGTTGTGATAAACATATGCATGTATTTCAGTTAGTATTTATATTATGTATTTTCAACAGTGCATATCGACCAATTACTGAATACGAATAAGATAACTTGAGAGATATTAGGTTTAATAAGATTAGCAACGCGTAAATTCGCAATGAAATAGTACAACTAACAAATACAATACAATTAATCAATTACACATACATATAGGGCATATGTATGCATAAGTACATATGTACAAATAGTGAGGCTTATGTATGGGTGTTCAAAAGCGATAAGTTCATTTAAAAACTTAACATTATATGCAATTTATTTATTTATTTAATTTTTTATAAATATAATTATTTTTATTTAATACTATTACTTGTTTACTATTGTTTTTGTTTTGCAATTAATTATTTTTTGTAAATGTTCAAATTGTATAATAATTGTAAATATTTTAGAACTTTATATGAACTGTGCATAATTTGAATTGCTTTCATTTAGGCTATTTTACAGTGACGTGCATAAAAAAAGCACATACGTTTTTTTCTGTTTTTTTTTTCTTTCAAAATTCGTGTGAACAAATTTAAATTAACATTTCTTTAATAAAAAATTATTTGGGTTAATT